CAAGCGAGTCCGAACGTCGGCAATCGTTTCGGAATCCCATTTGATTGTTTGTTACTACTTCGAACTACTTTTCAAATATCCATGAAATCGGTGATTTATGGGGCAATTTACTACCGGTTTCCATAGTAAAAAGGTTTCATTAGACCTACATAAAAATAGTTCGGGTATATATGATGATTAAGATATAATAAAATGGTCTGATGCTATGGTTGTTAAGAACTATTAGCAAATTCTGATGATTTTTGAACATAGATTACTATGGAAATTGTTTTCTCTAAAAATATATTCAATTATGATGTAACACATTATTATGAGAAAATAAGATAATATTGTATTAGTCCTAATTTATTATGTTAAAATGCCAGCGAGTGACCGTAACGAGTTCCTCGTCTCAGAATAATGCTGCGCGTAGTCGGTTTTTTATATTGTATTCGGAAATTGTCAGAGCTGTCCCGACGAAAAAAAATATTTAAAACCGATATTATTAAAGAGTGCACGTCAGTCCCAGGACAGTGTTTCCAGAATTTCTGACAAGTAAAATAATAGATCGATTTATGAAACCCTGATCAGATTATTTTTAAAAAGCCGACAATATGCTACGAATTGCTTGCAATTCCCGTGGGATACCTGTGAACATGTTAATTATTCTAATTATATTATCATCGTAGGATTGTTCAGAAGACAGGACAGACGGATAGAAAAAGTACAATGTATATCACATATTATTTTATATCGCTGAATCGGTATGATATCATGAATATACAAGCAGGTCGGAGTCTGATGAAATCGCGTGATAATTGCGATAGATCTTAAATTGATTTTCTCCAATAATGAACTAATGACTAGCAGCTATTTTGGTTCATTTCACAAACCTGAACTACAACGTGCCTTGGCTGCACCAGCCCAACATACACGCGCAATAACAGTAATAACCATCGTCGCCGATAAACCGACCGCGTTCATGTGAATACGTTGCAAAATACGCATACATGCCAGGAACATGAACACAATGATGAATATTGGTAGATTATTGACCCCACATTACTGGCGTTCTATTGTCCGTGAACACATTAAACTATACATTCCATGTCAAAGACGTATGTTATCGGGTTCTTGAATCACCGCTTACATGTAAATAATAATTTTTAGTGAGCAGCAAAAAAAAATCGAATCCGATGTCAATAAATTACAAAAATTCCCGCATCGGCGAACATAATGTGTTCCTCACTCCTTGGGCGATAAATCTATCTATCCACACGAATATTTAAAACTCATTTCTACATTTTGATTATACTACTTCTCTTTCGGTTAGCGTGTTCGTGTATGAGATCTTTAGTTGATATAGTAGGTGATCCCGCGAATTCACCCCCCCCCTTCCGCCTCGAACATTTCCAGATAGTTTAAAACACACACTCACACACATGGGAAATGTCAGCCATTAAATCAGGCTTAGGAAGAAAGTTCCAGGAATAGCCAAATCAGTTATAAGCAATTATGATTCATTTAGTCACCTTTATAAGTAGGTATTTATTTCTTCCCGTCTTTAAATTGAGTTTCACAATGACAATGCAACGTCCTCTCTCACTAAGTGCTTCTTTTTGTCAAGTGCACATTATCAAGTCTAAATCACCGCATCCGCGAATCACTGGCACGGTAATTGAAACACGAATTGTACCCCTGTAATCACCCACATTGAAGAGCAGCTTTGCGGGCCCTTATTACGTACAACACTTCTACAAAATTCATACACCGTCAATACCGGTAATTGAAAAGCTGTTGTATTAAACCCCAGCGGTTTAAATCGCGTTCTATGCATACACCTGTGTATGCGAGAATTACGTAGCAACAGACGTATACGGTTAATGAGTTTATTTTGAAAGCGATTAATAGAACGATGTTTGCTTCATTCGCATCAATTACCAAATCCCAAACCCAATTACCAATGAATTCAATTCGGTTAATAAACATACGAAGCTTCAGCGAGAATACATTGACCTGGGTGGTTAACGAGTTTGGACTTGACGAACTGCCAATCATTTTTCCGGGAAATAGAAAGTACATGCGACACACGCAGATGTTTCCCATCTCTTTGAAAGCTACGATTCATTGTGAATGAAAGGCTTTTCCTAAATAGGATTGGTCAACTTCAAAAAGCCGGTAAAAAACAAGCGTATTGTGAAGGTCTGGCATTCGATGCAGACAAACAAAACACAACGCGTTACACCACATTTCAATAGGAATTTTATCAGATATTATTAAATGATTACACGTGGCTATTTTGGTAATACTGAGAAGCGGTGAACGATATTAGCGATGTATCTCTCAGCCACTACTGCGGTATATATTGTTATTATATTGATAATAAATACGTCGATACGTCACATAATACGTAGCAATATTGAGTTTCTTGTTAAAGGCATGGAGAGAATACTGCTATTTGAGTGTTTTAAAATAAAAAACATTTTTTTATTGTTGTGAAATATATGCAAGAAACGGCGCAAATAAAAAGTAGAGGTAACCAATTAAAGCGGCGTTTTATTGGCTGCATTGCTAGGGTTGAATCGTAATGGCATTCTCTGCATAAATATTTTAATTAATTTTAAACTCCACTTTATTCGAAGTTTGAAAGGAGTTGTTTTGTAATTGAAACATTGTATGTATAAATTATCTTGTATGTTAATAGCTTGTGTTGGCATTCTGGTTAGTTGGTCGTTTTCATGGACGCGTATTAGTCACGTGGTGTTGACGAGTAAACAAATAAATAAATGACATAATTTTTGAAGTCATTGCTTTTAAAAAGTAACAAAGAAAAAGGCACTCATTTATCCCATCTTAGTCTGCAGTCTCCTTGGATACATACTCTCATGTCGCGATCACTTTGTAAATTATAAGAGGAAGTTTTGAATTGGCGTATCGGGATTTTGGATATTCTCCTACTTTCACGAACAAACATTGTAATTAAAATAATGATATCGGGTATACAGCGCACAGTGGGTAATATTGATTAGTATGATTATAACTGTGTGCGTAATAGTTATGCTATTAACCAGACTCTGCGTGAAACCATGTTCTATTACATCAGAATCGTTATGACTTCCGCCATGTTTTACATGTACATATGTTAAGTCATCGCACCCAACTTACACGATTAACTACACCATCGGTTCATCGTACGCTGTGTAACATTAACCTCTTGCGCTCACACTGAGTAATCGGTTACGAAATCGTGTTTTTGATGGAATGTAAAGGCGGATGATTTCAAGCTTACGCAGCGATCGAGGATTCCACAGGGCATCACACCAGTCATCACCTCGTACCAGTACGTAGCATAGCACGCGTAAGGTCAATTATAATGCTAACCATATAATCTGTAATTACACTAATCATGTAAATTTTCTCCACACATTCCCGGGGTTTTTACATTCCTGTTCCTGAAGTGTTATTTTACAATCAATTGCAAGTGCGTATATTGTGCACGCTCGTGGCTAAATCACGTTTGAGTATATTAAGATGTCATCTTTCGCGTCACGGAATAATACACTTTCATGTACCGACATAGAACTACGCGACCCCGATTGCAAGTAGCGATGCGAGATAACAGAGATGGAGAAATCACCAAGGCAACCAATTGAGAAAAAGATCACACGCCTTCTGAGTACACACGTATTTTTTATCAATAACAGCGCGCTTAATAATTAGTACGTCAGAGCGCTAACGGCGGATATATCATTTTTATATTCATTTATGTATATTTATTTACTCATTCCATTTAAAAGAACAATTTTACTGTCAAGTTTGGGTTACATTTAATTGTTCAAAGTCAATGCTTTGCGTGTTCGAAAGCGTATGAATCGTTGTGATCAAAGAAACTGAATGGTGAATCTTTTCACTGTTGCATACATTTGAATGCTCTATCGTGTATTGTATTGCGTTTTCCCTCCATCTGCCTCACCATATCCATTGTGTTCAATTATCTGAATGTCATTTCTCCGGTTGAACATGCAAATGTCCAATATGAAAGGCTGTATGTATCTATTTACCATTCGGAAGTTTAACGGAAATCCATTTTTCTTTTCATTGAACATATTGAATGCCGCGTTGCTGGTTGCGTGAGGTAGAAGCAATATTGCAATGCGGTGCAAGAATTGCAGGATTTCGAATAATCTCGCTTTTGCTCGGGTGAGAAGTAACTCCAGTCTGAGTAAAGTAATTTAGGAAACTACTCCAAACGCGTAGGAGCGATGGCATCTCATGCACAGACACAAATAGAAACACAAGGCGTATGCAATGATTAATAAATTTCACGACAAGCGAGAATACTTTATGCAATACAGCGTACGCTCAAATGTCAAGGAACACCGCTGGCACAGCGATATCTAAATTTTCTGGATACTCCGCCGAGAGAAAATCATGATCTCTGGAATGCAAGCCGGTGTTGTAATTTATACAAACCACTAGTCTATTATTGGACGACAATGACAACCCAATAAACATTAGTGTACCACATGTTCTACGCATTTACGCGCTAAAGTTCGGTATACACGTATATGTATATACACCGTGCACTATGTACAACAATATCTATTCAACGTCAATGTTAGCATTGCTAAACAACCTATACATGGCATATTTAACAAACTATGTGATACTGCCAAATGCACAGCTCGTATTAGATAGAAGAATTCATACTGAACTGTAACACCCGTAAGGGATTTAGGCAGCGTAATTGTTATCCATCTATCTATATCGACAGAGATTACGTGTCATAACCTGTGTGTAACATTGTTATTTCAGCTTAGAAGTGTTGCTATTTTAGCCGAATGAAAAATGCCTGTTATTGTACAACAGTAAATGATCGCGTTCAGCGAAACTATTATAAATATCAGCGCTCAAGCGTTGGGAATCAGGCACCTAAAGTGCTATAATGATAGTGTTCGTGAATAGGTTCAAACAATGCATTCACAAATTCGGTGAATTGGTGAATAAAGGACCCCACCTACCTATTGTTGTCAGGACAGTCATGCAGAAGAAACAACCAGACGTCCAATCCCAAGGCACCGATTTGCCCGACGGAGTTCCACCTGATTTGAACTTCTTGAATAATAAGGCTTCAAATTCGTCTACCCGTATAATCATCTCTATCGTCGCGTTTTCTCGGTTGGGATCGAGAAGACTGGTAAGGTTGCTTAGCAGTCTCTCCTTCGTTACCTGGATGTCGGCCTCCTGGCGTTCCTGATTGGGGTTCTCAATCAGCGCAAAAACCCACGCTCCGCCGACAACATAAGCTACCACCAATACCGTCAGGAAGAGAAACTTGCATTTCAGACCAAATTGGCATCGACATCGCCGGCTTTCCCCTGTCATTTCTTTAGAGTGGCGCTTTGCCCTGTACAGAGCCCTGTCGAGAAGACAGATAAGATAGAACTTGAGTCAGTAAGTGCGTCGTGTGTTCTTCAGTATTGTGGAGGAGATTCGATCCGATACGAGCTACTTGTAGTGCCGTGGATGAAACTAATCACATGCCAAACGCGCTTTTAACGTTGATCAAGTCATGTTTATGTGATACGTGTTTTCACGAACGCTTGCTAGTCATCCAGCGTAAACTCAGGAATCTAACCTCGTGCAACAGCCGCAATTCGCGGGGTGTATCCTGTTCGGCGATTACGCGCACGTTACTTTGCGACCAGTCACGGATTCCACACAAAACAACGCACCGAGCAGAGCAGAAGCTGCCAGAAAGGCCTGTCAATGACACCCAATCGAGTATATCCACTATACAATGATATACTCTGAGGAAACTCACTAGGTAAGAATGTGCAAACATACGAACAAACAAATAAATGAAGGTATGTCCTAATGATGTGTCTGTCGTTGTCATAGTAACCAGCCACGATGTTCAGAGTTATCTCTTATGCCAATCATTATCATGTATAACCCTTCGAACATTACAGAATGAAAATCACATATGCCTCGGGCCCTCACGGCGTTTTGCGTGAAACACTATTCTCTATGGTGTTGGGGTACATATATTATATGAATTTTAGCAAACTTTAACTTGACTTGTATATAATAAAATGTATTAGACTTATTTGCATATTGTCGTATTTTGCGAATAAATAATGAGACATACTTGCATATATAAAGAGCGCTATAATCTAATTATACAACTTATCGTCTTTAGCACTCAATAAATATCGTGTTCCAAATTCTATATAATGACACGTGATAACTTAAAATGTGTTCATTTACTGAACAGTTACATAAATTAAATTTCTCTTGAATTTAATTAAATGCGAACACCACACCATGAGAAACTTGTATTAGACATGTTTCGTATATATTGCTTCGTGTAGATTAATACTTATTATTTTAAGGCCATAATGTATCTCATGTATCCAATTTAAAGAAAATCAAACATCCGGTTTATTTCAAGAAAAAAAATATTATTATAATATATTGTCATACATAGCAGTAAAATAGGTCATCAAATGGTTAATATCTATATAAATATTAACGCGCTATGTACTTCTGGTGATTACGTGCGATATGTTTTTCCATTTCAACGAAGAACTAAGTACTACTCCTTACCCCCTACTGTGGATTTACATATTAGAGATATGTGGCATAATGTACGAGATAATGTTTCACATCGTGAAATGTATTAGCTGCTGAAATAACGTGTTTTGGGTTTACCCCACTCAGTATAAACAGCTGGGAACAGATAATGTGCAAGGTCGTCGCTTTCAGACCAGTATAAATTTTCACCGACTATTTTACAATGATGATAACACTTGACAAACCGACATTGTGAATTGTAATTCAAATTTGACTGAAACGTGGAGAATAATTCTATTTTAAGTGAATCGTCGCTCAGACAATAAATAAGTGGTTAGTAAGAGGGTTGGGTATGTAGTATAAAGCAGCATGGGTCAATTCACCAATTTATAAGCTTTGTAATGTAGACAAATATTTCCCCGGTTGTGGTTATATTATTGTCTCCAATATTGCTACTCGGATCGGCCCTACAGTGCTGGATGTATCAAGCTTTTTGGGGTATACATACGGGTCCTTTATTAAATTAATTTTGTAATTTCAGTGTGTTGTTCATTGAATAGAGGAAGTTTTCACATTGTTGGTGGCATAGATTCTGAAAGAAGATCATCCCTATGCTCAGAAGAGGAGAGTTTCTGCATAAGAAGGTGGATAAGGTCAGGGTGTCGTCGTACGTGTACACTAGGGCGATGACAGACGGAATCATAAACATATGACTTATACAAGCAGAATGCATGCCAGAAGATATCGAAATATAAAGAATGTTTTAATAATTATCACGACAGGCGAGATTGAATTATGTAATTCGGCGAGCTCTCAGCTGTTTCCGTTGTCTGGTGCTCATTTGGACCCAATGAATTGAATCGTATGGTGAGCGAAAATAATCAATATCTGCAGCGAAAAAATATGGATTTATAATATTCCATCTGTCAACACAGAATATGAAAAGTGGAAATCAATTTACAATTGCGTGTATTAAATATCACTGACACATATGCATTATTTCAAGCAAGGCGACGACGTAAACCGCAAGTGGCTTCTAGTGAAAACAAAAATTATTGTGTCTTCAGTGTGTAACATGAGAAAGTATGAAAGATATATCAACTTAAAACGGAATTGATGAGTCTATTTCCGCTGTAGATATAACCCAGCATTCAGCGATTGTTTCCAAGCTTACTTTACCTACAATTACCAAATTCTTTTTAAACTCATATTTCCTATTCGGAGATTTGTACATTCCGAAATGTCGGTATATTAATGTAGGTTAAAGTACTTTTACATATAGGGCGACATGTAAGTCGAATAACATAATAAGAGGGAATTTCAATACACTCATTACTTTCAAATTCCGTTTTAAAGCATGTTTGTCTTCTAAATATCCCCCCGATATACATCTTCCCATTAAATTGTATACGCACTAATACGCATAAATGCCCAACTCAACTGTGTCGATGTTGTCATGGCGATTTCTGGTCGATTGTACTCTTCAAATAAATAGATGAATTGACTATTTGCAAGATACATATGCAAAATCGTGAGCTATTTTTTATTAATCACGCATCTCCGCCGTGAGCATGACATTGGATTAGGAATAAATGGCTATATGCGATTGTTTCCATCACGTATCAAGACATTGATCTGGGCAGGAGAATGCTATATTCTTCTATTTTTTCCAATGTGTAACGAGCTCAGCAATGAGCTCGCGAGGGTATGTCTTTGATCAACATCAAATATGACTGTTCAAAATTTAAAAAAAACCAACACCAACTTGTAAATGAATTGTGATTGTCGAGGAGATCAACGCCCTTTAATCTCTTAAATTGCGTCACACTATTCTTAAATTTAATAAAGGTTTTTATATTATAATTAGTAGTTGTTAAAGAAGTAAACGGATGAGGTATTTTCAGAATTTGCATTCGATAATTATAATAGTGGTACAAAGAATTAATGACGACGTTTCGTCATAATAAAATGATTGATTCGCACGTTGCATTGACACATATATTGAATGATGTTCACTCGAGTCCACCTGTACGGTGAATTAACAGTTTGTATCAATGTACAGCCCGTGGGCAAAGAACACAATTAAGAAAATTTTTCAAAATATCGATATTGTCTCTTTATCACATGACGATTGTAGAGAGTCGCTGTTTAGTTTTTTTATGAGTGCGTATCAAGTAACACGAGATGTGTAAATCTTGACCATGAAAGTCGATTCAGATCGATTTGTGTATGT